TCATTTTTCCTATTGGCGTCCCTTTCTCTGAAATGATTCTTGGCTCGATCGCTGAGGAACTCTCAAAGGTGGCCCTCGTTAAATAGACAGGCTATATCCTCCCTTAATTGCCTGGAATCCTCAGTCTTGTAACTATGCGTGCCATGATACTTGCACATCAAATTTGATTTTCTTTGGGAATGATCGGTTTGTATGGGTCTAGGTCACCTAGTATCTTTGATCCTTCCGATTGCCGATACAATGCCTGATGCATCGATGCTAAAGTTATATTTCGATAACCGAGGTGCCTCTGTGGGATCGGCATACTTGTCAAAATCACTTTTGCTCATAAGTCCCCGAAAATTCTGTCCTCGATCACTTCTTAAATCGTTCCGGGCGAAATTGCGTCCTGAACCATTGTTCCTTCAATCTGCGGTATATGGTTGATATCGGTCTCTGTTCGATCTTGGCTCCCTGTCAACGTCCCTTTGGTTTTTAACTGCTGGACTGTTTGGATATACTGAACCGGAAGGGGCTCCTAATTGGTCGTCCTCGACCCTGATCTTCGATTGATATCGATTGTGCACATCTGGCCAAGTTACAGCTGGATATTCGATCAAATTTTGTTTCAACTAACGTGATGCTATCGAACTTCGCTCGTTCAACCCTTGGGTGAAAGCTTGAACGGCCTAATCATCTGTGACTGGTGGCAACTCCATGCGTTCCATTTGAAATCGGGACACGAACTCCCTCAGCATTTCATTATCCCTTTGTCTTACCTTGAAAAGGTCTGATTTCCTCGTTGCGACCTTTATGGCCCCGGCGTGTGCCTTTACGAAAGAATCTGCTAACATGACAAATGAGTCGATGGAATTTGGTGGAAGGTTGTGATACCAAATCATTTCTCCCTTCGAAAGGGTCTCTCCGAATTTTTTTAACAGCACAGATTCGATTTCATCATCTTCTAAATCGTTACCCTTGATAGCGCATGTATATGAAGTAACATGCTCGTTGGAATTAGTGGTCCCATTATATTTAGGTATATCTGGCATAAGAAACTTCTTTGGAATAGGCTTCGGAGCCACACTTGGAGGAGACGGCTTTTGTACAAACTTCTTCGAATCCATCCCTTTCAAGATTGGCGGTGCCCTCGGTATCTAATCAACTCGAGAGTTGTATGTCTCCATTTTTTTATCCTTGGCTTCGATTCTCTTCTCCCCTGATTCAATTCTTTTGGTGAGCTCCTCGAGTATTTTTATTACTGCGGGATCAGTCCCCGATTTGTTACCATTTGACCTTTCCGGTATTGGCTCGGTACGGCGGGTAGTTTCTGGATCGACCCTATTCGGAGCTCTATGTTGATTTTGTAACTGAGCAATAGCAGCTTGCTGAGCCTGAAGCATCTCGAATATCACTTGGAGACTGACTCCTTCGTCTCCTCTGCCTTGTGTTCCTTGGACACTAGATCGGCCTTCTCTGCGTACGCTCAAATCGAGATTTGCGCCTAGATCCGCGTTTAGAGCAACATGCAAACTGACATCGACTGGGTTGGCAACCGGTGCTCCCCCGAGATTAACCTGTGGCACCTCGACTCCTGGAGCAATCACATTTTCGTTTTCATCGTGGAATCTGAGGCCATTGTCACCGTGTGTGGATGCGTTTTGTGAGTTTGATATGTTTTAACCTGAAAGCAAAGATACTTGACAAGAACAAGCGTAAAATAGTGTGTTTTATCAGAATCAGTACTGAACAATCACTATTATCCGTAGCCCCACGGTGGACGCCAAACTGTTTATTCTAAAAATTGAGTAACAACTAAACTTATATTGTGGTTTTAAGGATATATGAGTTAAACTAGCACCAATTGATAAACAACGAATTAAATTGATAACTTAGACAATAAAATAAATCAAACAGGTCCGCAAACAATACCTCGACCTCAATTCGAGATAGTCTCGAGGTTAGTTAATAAGAACAATGGAGGATGGAACAAACAGCGATAAACAGTATGTAAAACAAATAAAGCAGTGTATATGTATATTCTTATCAGTGAATAATATTTTTTTTACAAGTGAATGGGATCCCTCTTTATATAATAGAGGAATCCTAAATAAGGTACAACTCTAATAACGGAAGTAGATCCCATGATTGGCGCTAATAACCTCTTTGATTTGATCTGTTCCGGAATTTCCGCCCTGACTTTCGACCGGTTACTGATATCTCGTTATTCCGTTATTATGCCTTACTCGAAGTTAGTCACGCTCGATCTCGATTATTGCTGGCCTCGATCTCAATGAACACTTCGATCTCCAAGTGTGATGTTCTATCTTCGAGCTCGAACCCGATCTATTATGAGGTTACCCTTGAGGCAACTCCCTTGCCAACGAAATCGGGTATGCCCGATTTCGATCGTATACAACAATATATTAATGTTTGAGTTAAAAATGGTAATGTAATATATATTGTCATTCTATTCGAAAATATTTTAATTTTTTTTCTTTTTTAAAAAATATTAGCTCAAACCAAATTTTTTTTGTTTTTTGAAAAATGTATAAGTACCCCCTGACTTATAGCCGGATTTTTAACTACACAATTTATCTTTGTGGGGGTCCTATTAGGGGTGCTTATCGGGCGGATCGGGTGAATAATTACGCTTAACGGTTCGGCTTATCGGTTATCGGATTATAAATGTAGTAATCCGCTAGCCATCCAATAAGACAACGGGCGGATTGGTATCGGATTAACGATTATCGGACGATTTATCGGCTAAGTCAAATAGAAATGTTTTGAACAATTATTCAATCAATACCAAACGGTTTCAAATCAATTCCATCGAGGATCTACAAATTACTTCCAGTTCTGGCCATTATCATAGATCTCTTTCTCTAGTTCTATCGTGAGATGTTGTGTTGATATCTTCTTTGATTCTATCTTGGAATTGTATTTGCACCGTCTCAATTTTCATGCATATTTTATGGAAAGTATTGATTAAACAATTGTATTATATAGCTAGTAAAATTCTGCTATGAAAAAAAATAGTTCTATCACTACTGCACAGAATACAGATGCATTTCTAACTTCTTATTAGTTTCCACTTACTTTTCATTTGGTTATTACAAAGGCATCTAAGTTACTTAGTCCAAATGCCATCTAAGGCAACATAGTCTGAATCTGCTGCAAGTACATAGTCTGAATCTGTTGGAACGTAACTTCTAAGGCATCTAAGTGGAAACTAAGTAACTTAGATGACATTTTCATTGCAGAAGGCATCTAAATTACGTTGCAGAACTGCAGAAAGATTTTCTAAGTTCCGGTGACTGGCGACTTCTCAGTAGTACTTTATATACATAAGGGTAAAAGTATAAATTTAAAAATTCTTAACGGGTTAACGGTTTACCCGATAAGAAAATTGAGTAATCCATCCCCAAACTGTTAAGCCGTTAATTATAAAATCTCAATCCGTTTACCATCCATTACTCCAATAATCTTATACCAATAAGCCAATAAGCTATTGGTTCGGTTCGATTAACGGCTTCGGTTCGGTTTTAAATAGGCCTAGGTCCTATTACCCCCTAAACCTTTTTTAAATGGAATTATTATACCCTTAATGCTAATGTGGCATAAGTGTATGTCACCCTCTTTGGGAGAGTAAGAAAGAGAGAGAATGTTGAAATTTATTTTTATAATATTTTTATAAAATACTATTTTTTTCCTTCTTGTTTTTCTTTTTCTTTCCTCAAGTTTCGTTAGTTATAAACTTGGCCGGAAGTTAGATCCAGCATTCTCCATATTTTCCGACGAGATCGAGTTGCAAGTTTATTCTTTCCTCTCCATATTTCACTACACTTTTATGGAGGATTACTACTACTTCTAATCTCTTCACTAACCATTTACTTTCAATAGTAATGGCTTCTCACTGAAAGGAATGAAAAAATATAGTCCCAAGATCAACTTTCGATTAAACTTAGAAAACGCCCACAAATATTTTCTTCGGCATTCGACCACCCACATAACAGATCCGTGATGTCATAATTTATCGAAGAAGTTTTATTTGTTGAAGCAAAAGTTTTAATATGGGTTTTGTTTAATCAAGTGTACAAGAAAAGGTTGAAAAAGAAGAAGTGTTTTGATTGTCGGTTGTAAAAAATATTCTCACCATGCTCACCATTTTCTGATCGTGGCTCTCGGCTTTTCACTGCTTCAGGTAGTACGGTGGGGGAGTGGAGTTGTATTTTTTTAATTAATCAAATTTACATAAAAGAGAGAACGTTTTCTGATGGGGGCCTTTGGCCTTTCACTGTTTCAAGTAGTGAGGTGGGGGGAGTACTATTTTTTTAATTAATCAAATTTACAAAAAAGAGAGAACGAGGAAGAAGAATTTGGTTGTTAATTGTTTATTGCCAGAAAATTTTCTATGAGCTCACCGTTTTTCGATCTGCTTCTTCAACCAAAAAATTTCACTGCTTCACTTATGCGTTAGGGGATGAAAGAAGGTGGGGTGTGTGAAAAGGGAAAAGAATTTAAAAAAATAAAAGGTTAGTTGGGAAAAGAAGTAGATGAAAAAAAATAATTTTAGTAGAAATACATGTGTCATGCGCGTGTATTTTACCCTAAACACAAATGTGATAATAACATTTCAGGTAATATTTAGGAGATAATAGGCCCTCGCAAATATAAAGTGTGTACTTATGCATTTTCCCTTTTATAAATATAACACCAAATCATAACAAATCAAACGGACACTAACTTTTAAGTGGATTAGATTATAATATGGGGAGGTAAGTATGACCATGAGATCACGGATTTCTTGAAAACAGACTCTCCTTCCCGACCCATGCATAGAGGATTTGTGCACCAGGCTAACCATAGATTAATTTACGGTTCATCTAGTTTTATTATATTGACTTGAACGACCCTGTCCATAAACCAAATAACTATTTTCTCACTTTCCCCTCCTTTTTGTTCCTCGTGAGTCCTGAGCATTTTGCAGTCAGCATATCAAAGTGATTTTTTCCCAAACAATGTCAATAGCGGAAGTTTCTAAAGCATCAGATCTCATTGATTTTCTAGTAAACCAAGGCAACGAAGTAAAGGGTCTTTCCCAAATTGGTCTCAAGAACGTACCTGAAAAATTCATTCAACCCCAAGAAGAAAGACTAGATTTTACCCAAATAGTCTCCTCAGAGTCCATACCCATAATTGATCTCTCAAATTGTGATGACCCAAAAGTTGCAGAATCAATATGTGATGCAGCAGAGAAGTGGGGTTTCTTTCAGATCATAAATCATGGTATTCCTGTTGAAGTTCTTGAGAATGTGTTAGAAGCTGGACATAAGTTCTTTGAGTTGCCTGTTGAGGAAAGAAGGAAGTATTTGAAAGAGAATTCACCTACTCACACTGTGCAGTTGAAGACCAGCTTTAGCCCTTTGGCTGAGAAGGTTTTGGAGTGGAAAGATTACCTTTTTCATATCTATGATTCTGAGGATGAGAGCAGCACTATGTTGTGGCCTGCTGTTTCCAAGTAAGAGACAACAACCAGAGTTGGAATGAACCTAATTGTCTGAAACTCAATTGGAATGCTCTTTAGAGTAAATTTATCATGAGTCGGAATTTTTGCATCTTGCTATCTTATAAACAACTTCTGTAAAAATAAAAAAAGAACAGTAAGGAAATGCTACTACTTATATACTTCTTCTTCACTTGGCATCAATGGCAAAATATTTAAACATTTTTTGACTATTATCTACAGACCTTACTCTATATTATGAGAGTTATGAATTAATGATGTATGACAAAATACAGTGTCTAGACTATAATTTGAAGAACACATTTAAATTTGTGCAGATCATTTTATCAATTCTGTGTCATGACTGGAAAAGCTGGAAAAGGGAGAATGTGTTTTTTTACAGGACCTTTAGCATTTGCAGACTAACAAGAAGTTGCTAGCTTTTCAACTTGGTTAATGCCAAATTTCCAAGTGATACTGCTTGAGAACTTCTACTAATGCTATTTAAGATTAAAATAAAACAAAATAAAGAGCTCTTTGAAGGCATAAGAATTCCTAACAAAATGCACTAATATCGTTGCTAGATAACTTATCCGTATGTAATTGATAGTAAGCTATTAGATCCTAGCAAAGCTCTCTGGTAAATCTAGCAAAAGCTGCAAGTTCTATTGTGGCTTAGCCTTCGGAAATACTTATCCGATATCTAAGTAGTATTGTCTGTTTAAAATGTTGAGAGAACTATTATCACATAGCGAGAGAGAGTATTATCAAGTTGCATTTGCTAATCTAGTACCAAGCATAAACAAAATATGCATTTAATTTGCTCTTGCAAACTCTAGTCCGTATAGTGGCTGTATCTAGTCCTGACAAGAAGCCCCTAGACTAGGAAGATCAAACATCTCCTCCGGAATATGACGTAACTCCTGATGTTTCTTTTATAATAAAATAAACCAAGGTCCCTTTCCAATAGGGGCCCAAAGGCCGGAGCCAAAGAGCAAGTGAGGTCTACTCCACATAGCCAGGTCTTATGAAAGGCAATGTTGAAGCAGCTCTAGGCATGTCCCTTTCGATGGCTAATATGACCACTAGCCTTCCAGACCATTCCCTCAAACAGTACTGCGACCGCTCTTAGTTGTTGAGCTCCTTTGCTATTCAATATCATTATTCCTCCATGACCCTTGATAGGAAAGAATGGAGGTCAAGGATTAGGGTAGTAGAGTAGGTAGTCTAGAGTGTTCATAACAGTAATATTGGCACGCAGTCTCGCTTTCTGCTGGTAGTAGGTTTTTATGACTAACCGTTGTTTTCTTTCATTATTGATCACCTTACTATCTACGTACTTTTCGTTTGTTTTCTTTTGATTGCTAAAATAAGGCTGTATTTTGTCTTATGATTTTGAGAGAGTTGGTATATTTGGGCCACAGTATATATTTTTATTTTATTTTGTTCCTTATAAATATATTTTTTTTAAAAATCATATGTTAGTATCTAATATGAGTGTGTCTATGTCCATGAATGCAATAAGGTTTATGAATTCTTTTCCTTTCAAATTTTTTGACGTTTTGATTATTTAATTTTTTTTAACAAAGATAGTAGTCATTGCAGGAAAAGAAAGAAGAAGGCACTTAGCGCGTCTCTTTTAAATTTGCTTTGATTGTCCATTATCATATTTAAGTGAAAAATAATTTTAAGTTGACTACTATAGTTTTGTTCGTGTCTGTTAAAAATGAAGTTTTGTTTATGATTGATGCTTGCAAGATGAAATGTCTTTAAATACCACGCCAAGCGTAGATTAAAAAGATGTTGAGAGATCGTACAATTTGACGAACATCTAAAGTACTAAGATCTCTGTTACGCTATATTAGATTTTTAAATGTGTATTTATCATGATATGATATTGGTTTAGTTAATTCTCAAAGTAAAAACTTCAATTGACATTTCAAACTAAGTTGATGGTTTTGTTTCAAGTGAATGTTCACTTGGTTTAACAATAGATAATTTTTACCAAGTCTATAAGATATAAGATGATAGATAGCTATTTTTTTAATCATTCTATTGAAAATTTTATGTTTTATTAAAAAAATAATATATTTCGTAAATTTAAAATGTCTTTTACGGTCAACTAAACTAGTTTATTAATAAAGGAGAGGAGAGAGAGCGCACGCAGTCACTTTTCATATCAAATGGAGCATTGTCGAGTTCTGCTGTTTGATTTTCAAACACGTAAACTCTACAACAGATTCACCCTAACAACAAAACTTAATATGGAAACAAATCTTCAGACAAGGCAAGAAAGCCAAACAAAATTGCCTTTGCTCTATTGGTTAACATGGAGTTCATTGGACGAGCATATCATTGGCAGGCCAAAGCAACAAAAATCCTAAAGAAATCAGGGTCCCGTTGATCACACTGTAAGTAACCAATATAAATAGTTATTGTTTCTCTTTCTTTGCCAAGGATTCTCCTTTATGTTCACTGCCTGCTGAGACCACATAACCTGCTCCAACCTGTGTCGAACGTGCAAAATGAAGTACTCAAACTTGAAAACAAATGCAAACATTAACTCATTCCCTACTCCCTAAGCTCGCACGCAATAACAAAATTTTAATAATGTCAACAACAATAGTAACAAATAATTAGTGTTATTGTTCTAGAAAATAGAAGTAGGCGAAAGAAGAAAAGCACAATACCTGGCAATCTTTCAGTACAGCACGTTCTTGGAGCTGTACATTACTGCAAATAACAGAACCTTGGATCGAACAACCATCTCCAATGGTGACATGGTCCATGATGACTGAGTTGACAACCTGCAAAAACAAGCAAGAAGGGAAGCAACTTAATAACGAGCTAGGAACAACATGTGCTGCGTTTCCTGAGGTTTGCATCCTTGTGCGACAGAAAGTTGCAAACAATATCTGTGTTCCTTTTTATCAAAGGTAAAGAATGAATCATGCCTTCACATTTGAGCCAATCCGACAATGCCGACCAATGACAGACTTTTTCACGCTGCACTTGTCACCCATTTGTGAACCTTCTCCTAGCATACAATGCGGTCCAACCTAAATTAGATAAATACCTCAGTCATGAGAACCAAGATCCAAAAATTTGCACAATTTGTAACTGTGTTTTTTTGTCGCACCGACTTAGTGCAAGTTAATCATATATAAATTTCTTATATTCCCATAAAACAAATCAAGATCCAACAAGACAAATTAAAACCTAAAGGAAAGGTATGATGCAATATGAACTTCTTTCTTCGGCACTAACAAAAATAAAAAATAAAAAATAAAAAATAAAGATGACACAACATGTGCAACAACATAATATTCTGCATATATAACTGTAAGTTGCAACTCACTGTAGTTTTGGAACCAAGCACGGCTGTAGGATGAATGATGTTGTTCTGAGGAGAGAAAGAATAGTCTGACAGGTGACTTGCATCACCTATGACCTAAATCATAGAGAAAGTAAACTAGCTCATTAGCAGATAAGCAAACACATCTGCTTTAGAGATAAGCAAAAATACAAGATTAAACAGTAAATCTCACATCTCGATTTATGTCACTGAAGGCTTGAATGGAGTTTAAGCGCACACAATAATTGCTCTTGCTGGCAATATATACACAGCACTTGTGAGTCTTTCTTGGAGACGGAGCAGAACCATCAGGACCCAAAGCGTATAGTTCATGAAAACTTTGTGTAGATGCATTGGTCAGTAGTTGTGACAGCATAACTGTACTACTCTCAGAAAAATCCTTATGATGCCCATTTTCTTCTGCTAGCACTCCATTTTGTGATAACTCAGATCTCTAATATAATTCAACATCATCAACTCATGGAGAATCTTAGATGGGAAGTAAACAAAGTTAACATGTGGCAGAAAAACATCATGTGTTATAAGACTTACTAGCTGATTCCTCACGAGATAAGGCAACACGTCGCGCCTCAAGCTCAGAAAAGTTTCTTTCTTATTCAGAACCTCTTGCAAAACGGCTCTACAGGAGAAAACATGGAAATGACGACCATTTTCGAACATACCCACGAAAAACCATCTTAGAGAATATCCAAGCATAATGGATAAACAACATCAACTAAAACTACTTGAAATCAGATAGAAACACCTCGAACCTCTTGAAGGCATACATATGAGCATCCATTAGATCAGCACGAATCTCCATCTGCAGATTAAAGAAAAAGGATAAGATGGAGAAGGAAAACTCCACCGAAAATTAGGGAGAAGATCGTATATTTGGATGTATGTGCACGCATGCACTTCTTTTCTAATGGTCTAAATTCTAATATCATATTTTCATGTGAAAAGAGAAAAAAGGCAAAAAGAAACAACAGAAAAGGTTCTTGCAGAGAGCAGTAAGTCCAGTATCTCACGTTGGTTAATAAGCAAAATTCAATAATACATATACAAGGCAGTCTGTGTTTATCGTATTTGGATAGAGAGGAACCAAAGAGTTTTTCGGGGGAAGCAAACTGAACCAGAGATCATTATCAGGAAGATTATTCAAGAAGTGTTTATAGAGCACCAATGAAGAATAGGCCGACTGCAGTACTTAGACAACTTAATTTCTATCCTCGATAGTATTGCATTACAGAATAGTTGTTTGTGGAGTTCTTTGATGTTTTAGTTGAGTAGCTGTTTTCTGCATTTTGGATGGAACAGTATGCAGTTTTTTGTGTTTGTATATTTACAGAATGTCATTGGTAATAAAATTTCTTTTATTTACCCAAAAAAAATAACAGATATACATGTGATCATGAAAAACATAAAAACTCGTGCATTGGATATAGAAGAAATGAAAGAGATAGATCATATGAAGGAAAAATTCCAAAATAATGGCAAGCCATAGCCAAGCTGAATCATAGATTTGGAGGAGGAGAAGAAGAATACTACATCTTCAAGCAAATCTACCAGTCCTTCACTTATTTCCCCTCTCTTTTCCCATTAGTTTCTCAAGTAACAGGAATCAGACAAGAGGAAAGGTGCATGAGTAGAAGAGAAACATATCAGAAAAAACTCCCATCTTAGTGATTTCATTAGCTATGAAGTTCGTACTGATTGGCATCATTTACCTGGCCTACCGCCCGGAGAATGCTCTTCTGGACACGAATATCTTTCTCAACTTCAGCTCCTAGAGGATATCAAAGATGCCTCGTAAGGGAATAAAACCAATTGATGCATGAAGGATGTAAAAGCATATGCAGGGGTCTCACCAGCA